GGTCAAGGAAGGTTCAGGGAAAGAAGAGGCCTTTAGAGGTATTACAGCTGCTGTTTTTGCAGCAAGTGGCATGGTAAGATGTTTTACATTCAGTGTTGGGATACATGTAGGAAAGATAGCTACTTCTCATTGTAAATATTATTGTTGCAAGAGACACAAGTTACAGTTGTTTAGGGTTTTCCTTTTGTTTGAATGTAATCAGAACCTCTGAGCAAAACAGCTTTATTGCTCTGAATTTGGATGCTTGCCAGCCTAGAAATAGACGGATATCCGTAATCGGCATGGACATAGCACAGTGTTTTAGTAGAAAACAATTTGCAGGGTCATAATATATGGCTTGGGGTGGGTTTTTTTGGTGGGTTTTTTGTTGTTGTAGGTTTTTTTTAAATTTTTATTTTATTTTTCTATTGCTGCTGTTAGTTTTCAAAGTACTTGCAAGTTTATGGGCTTCTCTTGCTCTAAGTTGAGATCTAGTGAGACGTTTACAGCAAGGCATAATGTAAAACAAGAACCCTGATCAGCCAGCACTGACAGCAGATTTTATCCTGGGAGAATAACTAAAAATAGCCCACGAGGTTTTCCCCAGTTCTTACAACGTGTCAGACTGATGTTCTGCTTGCATCCTTTCCAGTGAATTTTTTGGTTGTTGCCTGTATGTGCACATACGTGTTCTATTTTGTCTTAATTATTAAGACTTGATGTTACTGTTAAGAGAGTTTGTGGTAAAGAGGATGAAATATATAAGTAGTAATATTGGGTTATGCTTTGGTTTATGATTAACATTTATGAACTCAAATAGAATTTTAATATTTGAGGGTTGTTTGTTTGGGAGGGGAGGGGTACGGGGGTTTTGTTCTGGATTTTTATTTTTTTTTTTGAAAGGTACAGAATCTGAACCTTGTGGGCTGATGTATAGTGTCCAAGTGATGACTTCCCGTCATTTTGCTGGAGGTTTGCTCATGTGTGTCCAAGGTCAGGCATGTTTTGCCTGACTGAAGAATGCACTCTCGTTGCCCAACACAACGTCCTTTGAAACCGATAAGATTTTTTTTTTTTTTTGCCTGTTTTAGTGGGCTTTGGCTCACCCTCCTGCTCTGCAAGTTGAAACAGCTGAACAAAACACAAAACCTCTCAGTCAGAATTTCCACTTGTTTATTTCGCAGCAGAGTCTCACTGTGGAGTTATTCAACCTCGGTTCTCTTCCAGCCAGGGAGATCCACACATTGGTTATGCTGATATTTGTAGATCATCACTAATGCTTTTCAGTCTTAGTTTACTGCTGATAGTGACATGCTGTTTTGTATTTTCCTGCAAGAATAGTATTCTGAATAGTTTATGGATCCTGCCCTTTTTACCCAGCAACCATAGAAAAAACCCTGTTAATACCAAGTCATGTTCTGTATAGGTTTATCATACAAAGGGGGGAACACAGGTGAACATGTGGGTCCCCACTAACTCCCCGCAGCAGCCATCCGGTGTGTGGAAATGATACCCGGCTTGTTAATTGGGTGCATCTGAAGTATTGCATGATTTTTTTGTTTGTTTAAGAAAGTTGATCTACATTATCTCCTTGCTAATAAATCTTATGTGAAGAAGCTGATGAGGGGAGCAAATTTTAGTTTAGTATTGAAAGCTAGACAAGCGGGGGTAGTGAAGTCGTTACAAGATAGGATGCTTGACTCTAGTAGCGTGTGGAGGCTGTTGCTCAAAGTCCTCAATGCTTTAATAGGAGTGGTCGCTGCTACAGTAGTGCACCTTGAAAGATCTCAAGTATTCAAATACTATTGCATGTGCCTTACTAAATGCATATTATAAAGTGATGTGGTACGCTCTAGTAGTGATGGTAGTTTTGAAAGGTAACTGAGGTTGTTAGGGAGGTTGGCTAAGAGTCTCTTAGAAGAAAAGTTACTCTTTTAGTCTTGACAGTGTTCCCCAAGAGACTTGTGTTCAGCCTCATGGCTTTTATGTCTTTCTCTGTCCCCTCTGAAAGAGGCAAACAGTCTCTTACCGGGGAAGATAAAATGAGATTGGCTCATTTTAAAACAATCTGTTTTAAAAATAAATGGATTGGCTGTGGCTTTTTGTATTGTTTAGATGAGCATTTTAAAGTTTTCATTTCTTATCATCTTGGGCTTCAGCAGAGAGCTATGCCAGCTCAACAGCTTGTCTCTGGGAGGCCTGGATCTGAAGTGTGCCGCAACAATCTGCGGATTGCAAGTAGCAAAATCTATTTTGGGGAAGGCTGGCACAATATCTCCGTGGTGTGTACTCCAGCCAACACCATGAGTAATTTAATAAGTACTAGGGATAAAACAAACAAAAACAAGTATGTACATTTGATGTTGCAGTTGTATTAAAAAGTACTGTGTAGGTCTGAGTGCTTGGCATTCATGGTGGGGCTCAAGACAGAAACAGTAACAGGGCGGGCTGAGATGTCAGCAGCGTTGAACAGACCAAAATGTGTATCAAAGGACACAAAGTGGGAGAATGATCTTTGCTCTCTTTAACACAGTTTTTACACTTGTAAAAAGTAAATCCCATTTGTGTCTTTTAATTTCCTGTATGTCCCTCTGTCTATTGAATGATGAAAATTATGGTTGAAGAACTGACAAGGAAAAACATGACTGACAAAACAGCTGGTGCTCAAGAAGGAGGAATTTAACTTAAAATTGCCCTTTTGAACCTTCAGCATTGCACTGAGTACTATAATTAGGCTCAAAAATACATTTGGTGTTAGCTTCAAAAGGAAGAAATCAAGGTGGGTGGGGGAGAGCTGGAGCCGAGCACCTGGTTTCAGTAACAGTCTTGATTTGTCCAAACAGATCAGAAGAGCTCCTTGCAAGACAGTTGTGTAACTGTTAAGGGAAGATATTGACCGCAGGGAAATGGCAAGCAACGAGGACTGCCACCAAGGGCAGTGGGTTTGTTCCTTTGCCCTCCCCACTGTGTTGGGTTGAGTGCTTGTGCAGCCATGGGGGAAATGCACTGGGGACCAGTGGGGGAGATGGAGCCGAATGATCCAGGTTAAATTGTGCCCATCAGAGGGAAAAAAAAAAAAAAAAAGGTAAAAAAGTTTGTTCGACAGTTGGTATTGGTGCTCCTGACAGTAGGCCATGATGTCACGGATTGGTGAAGAGGAGGTTTCAGAGGTCTCTTTCATGCTAAAAGCCAGTGTCTCAGCTGTTAAAAACATCTTTTGTGGGTTTTTCATGTTTGCTGTTAAGGGAATTTTTTTGAAGTTTATAGAAAGGATATTTACAGAATAATTTTTTACTTCCTGGAATGTTTGGAAAATGGTGTTTCATTCAGTAAAAATTTTCCGGATAACTTGAACAAATATGTTTAAAAAATGCTGTCAACTTGAAATACATTCACTTATAAATCATTAGCATGCATACAATTTCAAGTAGTAGATGTAGCCAAGATTGCTTCTAGCTTGCCTTATATTCCTCCTAATCTTTTGTCTTCTGCAGTTGGTATCTCCCATATCTGGCTGCACAAAGCTTTCCTGGCACACACAGGGCAACTGACCAACTAACTGATTGCAGATAGGAAACTGCTCACATGAAAAATGACATCAGATGCACAGAGGAAATACATGTGTTGGATATGGTTTGTAACAGAAGGATTGTGTATATTTACCGAATCAGTGATCTGTGATCCCTTTTTTTTTTTTTTAAAATTTTTAAAATTGTTTACATTGTTTGCAGAAGTGGAGTACATAGAGCCTACTGGAAACTTCTGTTTTGCTATGTTTGGAAACAGTTCAGCACTAACAAAGTTGGAAACAGTTGGAAACTATTTTAAATGTGCAGAGTCTAACCCCTGAATATGTTTTTCTGTCTTAGTGACACAAGTACCTCCTTGCTGCAGTTCCATATATGGTAATTTGCCATCAGACAGCATCGTTTTCCAGAGCTCACATTGAGTCAGGAAACTGCCTCTGCAGTAGTCAGACCTTTTGGTTAACTGTTACAGCAAAGCAAATCCTCTGCCTCTCCTTTTGGGGATGATTAAACTTTCAGTAGACAATTATTGATGTGGTACTTGAGAAGATGTAACTGGTGGGGAAGACAAGGCTTTTCCCTTCCAAACTGGAACACTTGAGATGTTAAGTACTAAGAAGAATATAGGAATTGTATGTATGAGATATGACTCTGCAGTAGAGTAGAAATAGGAGAGGAGAGAAATACCTGCATCCACATACCATACCTGCATGATTTTTCTTCCCAAGTCTCCATAAATATTAGAAGAGCAACAGATTCCCATATTTCGCAGTAATACTTCACAGAAGAGATGTAGTTTAAAGGGTCTGTTTTTCCATTAAGTCATCCTGCTGTGCATGAGACACAGCTTTATTGCTGTTTTGATGTAGGGCTGGTGGAATTGAGTGCATGCATATGTGGTTGAGGAGGAACAGGGGGATTTGACCTGGTGTTTTCCGCATTTCTGAGACCTTCTCTTTAAATACATTTATGTGATTGCTTTGAATGCAACTACATGGTTTGCCAGGTAAGCAGCTTTCCAAATGTCCATTTGAAGTAGAGAGTAAGTTTTCAAGCCATTAATAACGTAGGCAAAGCTCAATGTCTGAAAGTGGCAACACTCTCAAAATAGTGGATTCTTTTTCACTCTCAGGTGAAGAGTTGGCTAATGGTAGTTTTTACATCGATCATTGCAACTGGATTTGCCAGCTTATATGCTTATCACCCACACTGACTTCTCAATTTGTTTCACAATTAAATGGATGAATAGTTGTAGTGTCAGGAGTAGGAATCACTGAGAACATGCATGCAGTACCTTGTATGTTAGTGTTATGTGGTACAGCAAATACTTGACATAACTGATTTGTCAGCTATAACCACCCTGTGAATTTCAAAATTACTTTTGTGTTGGACATATACCGTTGTCCGAAAACCATGGTTTCTGCACGAAGTAGATACTTGTTGATAACATTGGTGTAAAATGCTAACCGTAATTTCTTTCTCTCTTTCCTAAAGCTTGTACAATGAGGACAGAAACTTGTTGCGTATTCGAGAGAAAGAGAGGCGGAATCAGGAAGCTCTGCAGGAGAAAGACAAGTTCCCCGAGAAGACTCCCCTCTTTGCAGAACCCTACAAGGTAATGGTAGGGGGCACATGGTAGAAGGAGAGGAGGAAAGAGAGTTGGGGTGAAAGAGGAGAGCTGTGGCCTCTGCATACGGTATAGTAGACTTAAGTACAATAGGTGCAAACACAGCATCTTCCCATCTGCTTAATTTAAATTCATCAGAGTATGTGCTTAAAGCTCTGTACACAAGCGCAGACTCTGACTTGGACAGGTTCATTTGGGGGCCTCCTGTAGTCTGGGAGTTTGAGGGAGAGTGCTCAAGAGCAGCTTGGCTGCGGGTCTGTTTGCAGCTGTGGTTGAAACTGGGTCTGATGTTAGTGTTCCTGAAGACTGCAGGCGCACCTGAATCTTGGGTCAGAACAACTAATACTGACTAGAGCAGTTGCACTCGTGGTGGAGAGACTGCATGCAGGATCAAGATGAGCTTGTGTAACTTCAGTTGTGGTGATACATAGCGATTAAAATAAGATCCTGAAGAATGCCTCTTCTTGAGCTGGATCTCCTAGGCTAGGGGGTCCATGGTTTTTAAATTTCCCTCTCTCTGTTGCAGACTAATAAAGAAGATGAGTTGTCAAGCCGAATTCAGAACATGCTGGGCAATTATGAGGAGGTCAAGGAGCTCATCAGCAACAAGTCTCATCAGAATCTCATAGGGATTCCAAAATGTGTTGCTCCTCTGATCCCACAAGGAAAGCCTGATCGCCCATATTTCCCTGAAAAAAGCAGCCATAATTTACCAGCTTCATTCCACCGCGGAACCCGCCATCCACCCATGGGACCTATGGTTGTAGCTCCTCCCCCTCCTAGCCACTCCATTCACTACCAAAAGGCACAGTCAAGAACAGAACCAGCTTCAGGTTTGCACACCAAGAGTCACAGCTTATCTAACGGTTGGAGTCAAGGTCAAGAACACAAATGTGGTGTCCAGGAAAGTCACGCAAATTTTCACCACAAGAGAAATGATAGGCGTGCAGTTGGTGAAGGTCGTGCTAATGAACTGCAGGCCTCCCTTTTGGCACTTTCTCCATTGCTGTCATCTTTGTCTTCTCCAGTGACACCCCTGTCACCTCTACATTCCAGCCAGCATATCAATTCCAGGTCACAGAACAGCAGCAAAAGTCATGGGCTGACCTACAGTCAAACAAAATCATCTCAGGACGACCTAGTAACAGGATCACAGGAAAAGGAAAGTCGGGACAGCTCAGCTGTTAACCTGACCAGCATCACTCAGCCTTCGTCTCAGACTTTTCCCCCACCTTTGCCATCAAAAACCAGTGCAATGCAGCAGAAACCAACTGCCTATGTCAGACCAATGGATGGCCAAGATCAAGCACCAGTTGAATCACCAGAGCTCAAACCTCTGCTGGAGGAATACCACGGAGAACCCAATGAAAAAATCTCAGATTTGAAGGCGAACGCCAAAGCCAAACTATCCAAATTGGAAATCCCTTCTGAGCCCATAGAGGTGAGTGCAACTGTTGCGGGGTTCTGCTGCCATCGGGGTAAGTTCAGCAGTGGGAGAACAGGTCATCGAAGGGCAGAGACTACCAGAAGCAATGATGGCTGCACATGCATAAACTATATGTTGGAAGGTGCATTTTGAGGTTGGCTTTTGCTGACCTGGGTGAGGTATCTGGATGGTGAAAATACAATGCTTCCTGTGATTCTGTGTTTTTTTTCAGTGAGGCTGCAGCAGGTTTTATGGTTAGAGAGGCTGCTTCTGCTGCTATGATTCCCCCCACCCCCCAAAGATTGCTGAAAAGCAGAATGGGGAAATGATATGCTGAGAAGGTCAAGTGGTGATGCACCTGCAGTTAGTGCATGCAGAGTGTCAGTACTGAGTCTGAGTGCTGGTGGGTAGGGGCCCCAAATCCTCACTGAATACTGGGACAGCTGACTGTGCAGTGAATACTGTGGTCACCTCCTAAGTTGAAGGTTTGGGGTCTTTGTGATAAGTGACTGTGAACACCACAGGGTTCTACCCAGTAAGATCTCATCATAGTCCCTCAGGAAAGTATTAATGTGGACAAAAAACATCCTGTAGATTTCTGCCAGATGGATTTAGCCTAGCTTCCTCGGGAAGCATGACACCGTTCTGTCTCCTGCTTCATCAAATGCCTTTTGAGCAAGTTCCAAAGGTTTAAGCAAGTTTAGGGCAGAGGCGGAATTCTCAATGATAAGCAAGATCCTAAAAGTTCTGTAAACTGTTGCATTCAAGCAAAGAACATACCCTCTTTCTTGTCCCAACTATGAGCAAAAGGAGCGGAAGTCTGCTATGTGTTTGTTCTTCAGCAGAAGGCAGCCTGGGCACCGTGGGAGAGCATGGGTGCGGTCTGCTTTTCATGGAAAAGGGTATTGATTAGCTGCAAACAACTGTAGGCAATTTCTTGTGGAAAATGAGAGGAAACTGGCAAAATGACTTTGTTGAGAAGTTATGGAAATACTTTCATGCTAAGTATTTGCTTCAAAATGGTTTGGCATTGCACATCATACTTCAAAATAGGAAGTGCACTGTGATCTGCATTTCATTATTTGCTTGACTGGATATTTTACTTCTGGAGGAGAAGTAAAGTGGTGCAGGGCCTTACCTTCTGCATTACCCATTCTTCATTATCCATTGCCAAAAAGATAAAGGTCATTTCTGGGTTTAAAACTCTTTGCAATTTTTTTTTTTTTGAGGGCATGCTTATTTTTCAGAAATGAGACTTCCTTGTTCTCTCCCAACTCTCCCGGTCCCATTTCCATTTTCATCTTATTTCTTTTCCCATCCCTGTGTTTTTTATGTCATCTTGTGTATCTCTGGTTTAATATGATTTTAGGCAGGGCAGTGTTAGCTGTGATGCTGTATGCTAAATGAAACTTCTTTCTCACTTTCCATTGAGCATGTGACTCTGAATCCAAATGCCCATAAAAATCCTACAGCTGCTGGAGCACGAGTAGTGTTACCCATGTTGGTGTGGGAGTGCTGTTAGATCTGTGGCAGAGTAAGAACATAATAAAAAGTGAGTTGAAGATAATGAAAGAAATGGTTTTGCACAACCCAAACCCCCAGGTTTAATTACACGCTTAGTCCATTTTGTAACTGATGGATGAAACCTTTTGTGAATATGCTGAATGATTCTCATTTGAGGTAGGTATCTTTAGGCTGTGACCTCTTGACTGTTTTCATGCATAGGTGTTTTGGATTACAGCTCTGTAAGCTCTAGTGAAAAATCCATGAGTTAATTTTCTGCTTGTCTCAGGCTTGTCCTTAGCATATTTTCTTTATTCTGTTTGGTTTCAATGTTTAACATATATTTGATGATACAGTCTTTCAGTGCTAAAGCCTGGAGAGTGAAGAGGAAGAAACAGTGTGGTTGCACACCTGTGTGCTGGATAGACAGTATGAGAGAAGTGATTGGGGAACAGGGCTGGGCTAGTTTGCTTTTAGGAAACATCCAGTGAGGTATGTTGCATGCTGGTGAAAGATTCCCCCTAGAGAAAGGACCTTGGGAAGGCTAAGCAGGGTCCTTCAGCTTGAAACGTTGGCCGCCCTCCCTTTTGTTTTTGGTGACACAGGAGCTGTGGGGAGGCTCCTGCCCTCCTATGACCCTGACAGTGAATAGGTCTAGATTAGCAGAAACTGCTGTTCTTCCCTCTTCCTCCCAGCAATTGGGAGCATGGTTTTACAAATTTTGTTTAAGCTGTTCGGCCTCGGCTATACTGAACAGCCACATGCCAAATACAGTTTTTTCCAGTGACCTCCCTTGACATCATTTAAGGAAAGCCATTTCTTCTACCATGTGTTTTTCGGCTAATTGAATTTCTGCAGCTGTGGATTCATTATTGACAGCTTCTGTTCATGGCAACACTGACAAGTTAAGCCTTCCAGTCTGAATGGACAAGCAGATTCACTGTAGAGTGAATTAATCCACGGTGGATAACTGTGCAGTGACTCACTTTGCATTCATATAAAGAAACTGAACAGCTCTTCAAATGAAAACCATTGCTTTTAAATGTCTTCTCCGTCTCTTTAAGGTATCTTTCCAAATCTATTGTGAGAAGACTTAAAAATGTAGCATATGTGAAGCTTAGATATATCCCTTCTGTTAATGTGCCAGGTTTTACCTCTTCCCCCAGCACCTAGACAAAGATGCTTTTAAAGCCATTCTCTCTTTTTGTGTCTTTAGAGAGCCACAGCACCAACAGAGACCCTTGTATTACCTCCCTTGACAAAGACTGTGATGTCTTAAAGGGAATTGGCTTGACGTCAGGGCCAAGAAGCAGTGAGGTTCATTTGAGAGAGTGTTTATAAATCCCCAAGCATTATTAAGGTCATAGTGTCTGGAGGAATGTATAGCACTTGATGCTCACTAAAGATTTGGCTTTGTTTTCCTGGCAGTTTCGTAAAGGTTAGGGAGTAACTCCTTTTATCTCATGTAATGAGACCTCATCAGACTCTCGTTTTTCACCTACAAACTGGGAAGCAAATAGGGAAGCAACCAATTTAAAAAAAACACCACAACAACAACAAACAATGCAGATGCCCAGACATGTTAAGTCTTTTTGGTAACACTGTATTATCCTTGAAGCACCAAGTATGCACAAAAATCTCTGTGTTCAAGTGGGATTGCTGTTATTGAGCTCTGTTCACTTCAGTAAACATCCATGAATGGCCACCAGTTAAAACATGATTGTTGCATAGCATATAGTAGTGACTAAATACCTAAAAAGAAGTTTGGATGACAAAAATAAAAAGTCCGTGCTAGATAAATAATTTTTTGTTGACTTCTCTCTGTGGCAACTGAGCTTTTCTACTGGCAGGAGCAGTCAGACAGGTGACCCCTGTAAACTAGAAAGAAATACATTGCTTTAATCCTGCATTCTTTAAAAATGAAAATTTTTAAAAGTGTATATAGCACTGTCATTTGTTCTTAACTAATGGATACAGAGTATTTAGCATTAAGCTACTATTGTTGTCTTTCTACCAACCTTATATTTATTTATTATTTACTGAATAGAAGGGAGATTGGACTTTTTTTTCCCCTCTCCCCTTTGTATTCATTTTTTTGATCCTTTTTTTGGTCCTGCTTTGCACCAAGAGAGGTAACAAGGTGTCACTTCTGTGTCTTCTCTGCTGCCCTCTTTATAGTCAGAAGTGCCTTATGTGATTTGAGAAGGGTTTCCTTGCTTCACCACAAGCATTGTGTAAATTTGTCTTTTTGTTGATGTGTGACTGCTAAAGAAGCAGATCAAACACAAATGACAATTGCTACTACTGTTTTTTTAATGTTTGCATATGGCCTCCAGAACAAAGAGCGAAGAGCTGGAGGGTGAGGAAGGGTATGTGGGGCAAGGAGCAGGTGGTTGGTTCTAAAGCTAAAAGGACATCTTGTATTATTACTTCAGATTAACCAGACTCTGGTGTTCAAAGAAGTCATAAATTAGAAGTAGTCTTGTTCATCTTCCTCTTTGATGCTTGGAAAGGGTACACTCGGGTGCAGTGTTCAACTACCAACTCTCAGCTGCAAGACTTTTCAAGTTTGGGATCCTTGCTTTGTTCACCTGGCTCTAAGGTCTAGGCTTGGCTTTTATGCAAAATACTAAATAATAGGGAAATTGTTTAAGAAAAAAAAAAAAAAAAAGAATGCATAATGCTGTGTTCAGCCATCGGGCTACCAGAAATGCGTAGTGTTTGTTCTGGCTGCTTGGAAGCCCAGTCTAGGGAGTATCAGTGTGAAGAAAGGGACAGGGATCCTGCATCTGCCTGGAGTGTGTGGTGAGGAGAGGAAGGAGGGAGTGCCAAGAAACAGTGTTTCTGAGACAGCAGTTGAGTCCTTGCGAGCTTCTCCCATCAGGTGTGGATGGTCTTAGCTCTTTGGCTTACACCAAACCTGATTTCTGTCCGTAGAGTGTCTCTGGGCACCATTGCGGAACATTTGTCCAAATTTGCTAAATCCATCACTTGGCAAAGCAATGGGAGACTGAGGAAGCATAAGTAGATGGGGATTTGCATATCCTGCAGAGACCAAGAGCAGGATAGATGAAGTCAAGCAAGAATTTCCATAAAATGCGCTGCATCTTTCCGGGTGACTCACAAGTCAGTGTCTTGTCCAGACTGCTGTGAGAAACTCAGGCTTAAATGAGCTGCCATGGCATATTAATCACTGGGAAGTTTTTTGGTTGAGATTTTTTAGGTTTTTGTTCTTCCTGTGAAGGACTTGTGATCAGCCATCCTTACTGGAATGATTCCAGCACAGGATTTAGACTATTGCCTTTCTCATTGGCAACTGTAAAGAGTGCTGTGTTTAAAAAGGAGGGACAAAAAAACCCCACCAAACCAACAATGAAAGAAAACCTGTGGTCCTCTGCAGTTTGCAAAGTCAGGAGCCAACAAGCTGAATTCAAGGAGAACTTAAGAGCATTTCTGTTGTTAGTTCCTATTGATGTGCAAAACACAATCAGTGCTTGTTAAATGTTGTGTAT